TTTTGAAAGTAGAGTTATCTTTTTCCTGTATTTTCTGCAATTAATGGTAAAGTTTCCTTAACCATATGATTGGAATTTTTTGAGGGGAAAAAAAAAAAGGGGGCACGTAAACGGGGCAGGCCCTAGCCCCGCCCCGTCTAAGGCGGGGCGGGGCGCGGGGTGAGGCGACGGAGTGGCGGGGCGGGGCACACGCCCCGTTTCCATCCCTAGGGCTGGGCCCATAAACCCGAAACCACGGATCCAACCCGACCCCGGTCGGTTTGGTTCAATTTTAATTTAAAAATGAGTTGGGTCGGGTAGGTTCACAATTTAAACATTTCAAACCGACCCAACCCGTTTATCTGTAACCCTATTTCCAAACCCTCAAATTCTCCCTGCTTCAAAACCTCCTCCCTCTCCGGCGATTCGTCGTGGTGCAACTTAATCGGAATTCCCATCTAGGGAATATCCACTCTTTTGGTTGGTCGATTAACGTTTAATTTGTTAAATATTTGGTTGGTGGGTTCTCGCTTTCTTTGTTAAACTCAAGCATTACTGTTATTGATAACAACCCTTTCAATTAAAACTTCTACTGATGCAACTCTCAAGGTCTCTTATCTCTCGATTGTTTTTAAAGGAATAGCTGATCAGTCAAATTTGTGCAAAAGAAACTGGATTGTGCAGAATCAATTAGCCCGGGATTGTAGAATTTAATCAGAGAAGATATGGCTTATGAAGCCGTAGTTTTACTGATGCGGGATCTAGAAGAACTCTTACATTCCTAGGCACGTCCCATTGGTCTAAAGAAAGAACAGATTGAATCTCTTTACAAGTAAGTTAGGTTATTGCAAGTATCCTCTTCTTTGAAGGAGAAGAGAAAAGGGTGGTGATGTGTTGGGTAAAGCATTGAATGAGAAGAGTGTGTGTTTCTTTTCTTCTTCTTCTTCCTACAATCTCTTCTTTTCATTTTTTTTACTGCATAGCATTTGGGGTGATTGAGTTTCTGTTATGATTGTCGGGTCGGATCGGGTTTGGCCCAAACCCAACCCCACCCCACCCCACCCCACCCCAACCCAACCCAACCCATTGCCCATCCCTAAGAATGAGAATGAAAAATATAGTCGTTATTGGGCTCCACATAAGAGATAAAAATTCAAAATTGATGGCTTAATGTGATGGACAACGGTCATATTTTTCATTTTTATGGATGAAAAATGAGCAACAAACAGGGGCTTATTTTATTTTTGAACTTTTATTTGCTTTGAGTAATTCCTTTCATTACACAATATAGAAGAAAGCAAACAAAACTGGATTTACCATCCCAAATAGGTCGGATTCGCTAGTCATTTTACTCGTAAAACACTTTTTTTTTTTATAACACATGTTGTGTATTAACTATTAAGAGCACTTTAATTTCGTTGATCGATCCTCCAACATATTAGTATTCAGCTGAATCAAAATAATTAATTTCCTCTTTTTTTTTTTCACTCTTAAAGCATGTTTGGTTGGGTTCAAAAGTTTACTTATAAGTACAAAAATATTTCAATACAAATAATTTTTCTAATAGGAAAATTTGATTAAAAAGAGTAAGTTAATTAGTTCGGAAATAAGATGAGAGTTGCTAAAATATGATAATTTCTTTTGAAAACAATTAAAAAATAGATGTCCAAACATGCTACATTTATCAACTTAAGGTCTGGTACAAATTTGATAATAAATTTGTTAAAAGTGATTTTTTTTAACATTATTTTGTTAAAAAATATAAAAAAAATTACGTTTCCACATGAAAAAATATTTTATCAAAAAATGTGATTCAAAATGAGTTTTAAAAAATGAAAATAAAACAGACTCTAAATAAAATTGATTGCATCAAGTATATCTTTTGAACAAAGTTATAACTGAATTAGACGCGAACAAAATTAGTACAAAGTTTCCCACCGAAAAAAAAAAAAAATTTGAAAGTACGAACTTCTCATCATGCACCGATTTTCTCAACAATGATTTAAACTACATATTTGCAGAAATACTAATGAACCCTCAAAATAAGCAATTCATCATCAGCTCTGTTCTTTAACAGCCATATTTGAAGTTGTTCCATATTTGGAGAACACATCCGTAAGCACTGCTTTCTCTCTGATCTTTAACCTGTACACCATAAGCAAATATTTTTAACCAAAAAGGAGATCGAAAAGTAACATAATAATTTTATACAAAAGAACGAAATCTAATCGCTATATTTTCAAAGTCATTACTCCCAAGATTATATCATTACCTATTAGCAGATCCTAGAGTGTTTATCTTCGGAATCTTGTCTTTGCTTCTTTTAGATGCTACCCTTTTATCTTTCACTTTCAGTTTTCTTTCCTTCTTTGAGGAGGATGGACTTGTTTCAGACACTGAGATACTCGAAGTATCAAAATTTTCTCTGTTATCCTCCCATTGTGCAGATATGTAGCTCTCGTCCGCATCATCATACTCTCTAGGGAAACTTTTCTCCGATGAAGCTAGCAAATTATCATCCACGTCTATATCAGAATCCGAAGCTTCATCAAGACCGATTGCTGCTTGTACAGGAGTGCTATCAGTCTCGTCCCCGGATTGTTCACTAGCAAGATTGGCCGAGTTGGAATTCATCACGTTACATTTAATCTGCTTTTGAATCTTACCAAAGCTTATACTTTGTCCTGAGAAATTCTGCACAAACCTAACATGACAAAAAAAGTCCAGATGAAACATTACGAAAATAGTACCTAACTTTTCATGCAATACTTAATTTTTTTAATAATGCTATTCATCATTAGTTGTGATCATCGCTAGGCCTCTGTGATGATCACAACTAATGACGAATAGCATTACTCTAAATTTCTTAGGGATTACCGAAATAAAACAAAGGATAAACACAACGAATAGAAAAAGGCAACAATATCATTTAAATACAGTACATATACCTTTGTGCCTCATCCTCGGACTGAAAATATATGAAAGCAACGCCTTTGCAGATAGGATCCCTGGTCTTTTTGTTCCCAGTAACAGTCGGGATTATATTTAATACTCCAGGAACTCCTTTAAAAGCTAATTGTAGATCTCTGTGGATGTTCTTTTTCTTAGGGAGGTTGACTACACGTACACGAACTCCATCTTGAACATGTGTAGAGACTGCATAAATCCAGCAGGATAATATCACGTCAGACTCAATCTGGCATGTAAAGTTCACATGTCGGTAGCAGTAGCCAAAAGAAAACTTGGACAAAGACAAAAAATTCGAAAAATACTACAAAATTTCACTTGACAAGCAATTCAGCATAATCTTGCTCTTAGAACCCACAGAGCTACATCCTTTAATTGCTATCAAAACATAATCTGATCAATCTATTAAGATAGGCGACGGCAAGCCAAATGAACTGTGCCCGAAGATACTGTATTATTGGAAGTACGGTACTTAAGACCTTGCTATCTTTCACCTCCATCCTTCAAGTTCAATGCATATACTAGTTTCTGCTTAGGATCTGACAACAATGAAGGGTAAGATTCGGATTTTAGTAGGTCAGAATCGAAATGTTTTCTTTAGTTACAATATTATTATAGCAGGATTTTGAATTAACTAAATCATGATTTTAGTTTTCAGATTAAAATTATCACAGGCCTCTATTTTGGGAAAGAAATTAGGACAATGACACAAAGGACTTGACTCCTCAACTCCAAAATTTTCAATCTTAAATTTGTAAATCCAAATCATAAATCCAAGCGCATTCTAAAAGATTTTTGCGGCATTTTAAAGATTCTACTACTGTCTAGAACCAATCTCAAGATGTCTAGGCTACAACAACAATAACAAGCTAAGCTCTATTTCCACTAAGTTTTAAGTTTTGACCATATAATCCTTTTCTAGTAACTTTTAACATATTCTGCAGAGATTGCATTGTTGGTATGACAGTTTAATACCTCTATAGTTTGTACAATATTAAAATCTTTCCTTCATTTTTAATTATGAGACAGTTCCTCCATTCATCATACATTTTTTACTCCTTAAGATCTCTATGAATAATTTTGTCGATTATAAAATATATCTGTCACCTAGACAATGTTACTTCAGTAGGCGATCATACTAATTGCTCTCATCATTTTCATCCTATTCCTAACCTCCCTAGTCTCTGAAACCCTTATCCTTTTGGTAGAGTACACATTTTTATATTAAATAGAGTTTGACATATCCCCTAGATCCACTCCATACCTTCCCTAAAATAGTTTGTCAAACTAATTAATTCATCTTACGCGATTTCATCACTATGAAGCAATTATTTTCATCATTAATATACTTGATTGGGTTTTGTTATCAATTTATCATCT